GAGTACATACATACACATATATGCCACGTATATACAGTACACACACACATATACATATACCACATACAATCATACATACAGTACATGTAAACACACACACATACTAATACAGTACACACACACACGCACACACATACACACACACACACACACACACACACATACTAATACAGTACACACACACACACACACACATACTAATACAGTACACACACACACACACATACTAATACAGACACACACACACACACACACACACACACATACTAACAGTACACACACACACACACATACTAATACAGTACACACACACACACATACACATACACACTAATACAGTACATAACACACACACACACTAATACAGTACACACACACACACTAATACAGTACACACACACACACACACACACCAATACAGTACACACACACACACACACACACACACACACACACACACACACACACACACACAACATCAACATCATCCTCAACGTCTTTGTTTACCTTCACCAGATTTCATTAGTTCTCATTGGTTAAAACTTTGTAATAAATATCCTGACATAATCACCCCTTGTGCTCCCTGTTCGTCCTGATACTGGTTTAATACACGTCAGAGGGTCAATATCCTTGGTTGTTTATTGGCCAACATTCCAGTCTATGACCCAGGCTGACCTTATGCAGTTCCTATTAAGTATTACTGACATCCTTTACCAAATGTTGTTTCACCATACAAAAATTTATCATATATTTCAAAACATCTCTAGAAACAATGTCTATTTTTACCAACCACTCAACTAACATACAGATAGAGGGGGATGTATCTCTTGTCATTGCTATTTATTAATGACTCGGTGTATGTATAATCTAGAATTCACCCTTAAAGACCTACAGTCGTAAAAGAGTAGTAATGACACACCAGTATCATTTATCCGTAACTAAAGAACTAATCATCAGTTACCCATTGACACACCAACCTCAAAACACTAACTTCCCTCCCCCTCAATACAAACATCGTCTCTGGTGACCTTAAAGCACAGAGGTTAAAGACGCGGACACAAAGGGTGACCTTAGCCCTGTTGGCCGCCTCCCCTGCTAGTTTCTTTTCTCTCCCCAACATCGTTATCGTTCCCTGTGTTCTTGTTCGCTTACTCGACTCCTTTAGCGTTTGTTTTATGTTAACTTACAGATTCTTTAATGTTGCGGTTTGTCGTTTCTTTCTCGTATGATATTATTCACTTGTTATATCCTGTGTGTATCTTCGTCTGTCTCTTTCGCTCTTACTCACAGCAGCACTTGGCACTTCGAGACACTTCACTTTCTAACTACTTTCACATTAATGCCGGATTGCCCTCAAGGCTTTCTTTTCTCTCTCTCTCTCTCATGATGCTGCTGATCTTCTCTCCTTGTCTCCTTCCCTCACACACACACACGTGCTAGCAGTATCTGGGACACATGACACACTCACATATTAACAACTGCACCACCAACCTGTTCTCAGTAGCGACATTCACACTTCTTTATGACCCAACACACTCACTCTCATCTTTGGTCTCGTAAGAAAAAAAATTACCTTTTTTTTTTTTGGGGGATTATGAAACGCAAACCAACGTACTGTAAGCGAGGCAGTGTTCATCTTTCTACAATAGCACTAGGAACAGCCATATCCTACAACAACACTAGGAACAGCCATATCCTACAAGAACACTCCAAAAAGTAGACATATCCTATAATAACGCCAAACCAGCCATACCCTACTACAAAAAACAGCGATATCCACCACTAACAGCCATGCCCACAATAACAGCCATGGCCCCACAATACACAACCATGGCCCACAATAACAACCGCAGCCCACAATAGCTGGCTCATGTAACACAATAACAGCCATGGCTAATATAACCATAGCCCACAATAGCAACCATGGCCCTAATAACAGCCATGGCCCACAATAACAGCCATGGCCCACAATAACATCCATGGCCCACAATAACAGCCATGGCCCACAATAACATACATGGCCCACAATAACAGCCATGGCCCCACAATAACAACCATAGCCCCAATAACAGCCATGGCCCACAACTCTTTAACCATGGCCTAATAACAGCCATGGCCCACAATAACAGCCATAGCCCACAATAACAGCCATGGCCCACAATAACAGCCATGGCCCACAATAACAGCCATGGCCCTGTCTTTAGCCATGGTCACAATAACAGCCATGTGCTTACAATAACAACCATGGCCTAATAAAAAGCCGCAGCCCTGATAACAGCCATGGTCACAATAACAGCCATGTGCCCACAATAACCTATATGACCCTAATAACAGCCATGGCCCACAATAACAGCCATGGCCCACAATAACAGCCATGGCCCACAATAACACTCCAGGATGCACCACAACAAGGTTCCCCATCTGATCGACGCTTCCCAGAATTTACCACAAATGCTTGACAAAAAACAACAACACACACACACCCTGACTTTCTCTTCTGTGCTCGTTCCTCTCTTTCTGCCTCTACAAAAAGTATAATTCTCTCTCAAGGGGGAAAACTCTGCTTGCTTTCACATTTAAGGGAGGGAGGGATGTGGAGGGAGGGATGTGGAGGGAGGGGTGTGGAAGGTGGTGGTTGCATCCCTGCCTCCCGTGTGCCGCTGCGAGCGTTCGTAACATCACCCACCTGGAGGAAAACTTGGCGGTATTTCAGGTGATTTGCTCTTTTGCCAGCATTCTTTCCATCCTCTTCCCCCCACTCTTCTTCCTTCTCCTCCTCGTTTTCTTCATCTTGTTCCTCTTCCTCCTCTTCCTTCTAGTTCTAGTTGCTATTTTATTTATTTTATTCTCATTATTATTATCGGTGTTGAAGTGCCACACAAACTGGTGACCTGTTTTTCCTTTGTGTTTATTTCCTGTACTGTACCTTGCGATAGTGGAATCTCTCTCTCTCTCTCTCTCTCTCTCTCTCTCTCTCTCTCTCTCTCTCTCTCTCTCTCTCTCTCTCTCTCTCTCATGCAATTTAAGTGTTTCAGTCGTCAGCTGTGTTAACACCACGGCATAGCGACAAACATTCTTACATTAAAATTCCTTCGTCATAAAAAACAAGGAAAGTTCTTATTATAGGTTTTACTGTACTACCGGCTGAGTCACTGGGCAGTAATGCGTCTTCGTTCTCGCGTCGGTTTCTCTCCTCTTGTCACCTACGCCTACAGGTCACCTACAGGTCACCCACACTCACAGGTCACCTACAGGTCACCCACTCTTACATTTCACCTACAGATTAACTACACCAACAGGTCGCAACATCTTAGCTTGGGTCCTCCGGCATTCTCCATCATAACTCGTATCCGCCATTGTATATGTGGGCATCCTAGCCCTCAGGACTTAACGGGTTCCATATAGCCTCCAGTGTGTGTGTGCGTGTGCGTGTGTGTGTGTGTGTGTGTGTGTGTGTGTGTGTCATTGGGGTGTCATTGGCGTTGTCTATCAGCCTCGACTTGTTGACTGACCGCTCCCTTACCTGGGCTGCCCGGAGACCTTGGCCCCGTCTGTTTACCTGACGATACAACCCCTCGCCTCACCTTCCCTGTCTCTCTCCCTCCTGGCCTGTGTCTCTCTCCCTCCTGGCCTGTGTCTCTCTCCCTCCTGGCCTGTCTCTCCTCCTGGCCTGTGTCTCTCTCCCTCCTGGCCTGTGTCTCTCTCCCTCCTGGCCTGTGTCTCTCTCCCTCCTGGCCTGTGTCTCTCTCCCTCCTGGCCTGTGTCTCTCTCCCTCCTGGCCTGTGTCTCTCCTCCTGGCCTGTACTACCTCCTTCGTGTCTTGAACTGTTCCTCCTGGTATTTCCCTCCCTTCTGGCGTATTCTTCCCTCCTGACCTGCCCCTCCCCCCTGGCCTTCCCCTCCCTCCTGGCCTGCCCCTCCCTCCTCACCTGCCCCTCCTCCTCCACCTGCCCCTCCCTCCTCACCTGCCCTCCCTCCTGGCCTGCCCCTCCCTCTCCTCCTGCCCCTACCTCCTGGCCTGTCCCGCCCTCCTGGTCTGTGCTCCTCCTGAACATATCGCTCCTGCCTGACCAGCTCAAAGCAAGTTTAATTTAAGACATCAGTTGGTGTTGTAGGTGGGGGAAGGGGAGGGAGGGTGTCAGGTGAGGTGGAGGTTCTCAGGGCCGGTGTATAAATGGAAGTCAGGGCTAAACAAAGGTGATATAACAAAGGTACTTAAACTATCCAACCAGGAACGAACTCGTAACAATGGTTTCAATTTAGATAAATTTAGATTTAGGCGCGAGACAGGTAAACATTGATCTGGAAATAGAGTAGTGGATGAGTGGAACAAGTTACCAAACATCATCATTCACTCGAATACGCTGGATAGCTTCAAACATAGGTTGGATGGATGTATGAGCGATAGGGGTTGGGTGTAAACGGGACTGCCCAGTATGGGCCAATAGGCCCGCTGCAGTTTCCTCCATTCTTATGTTCTTATGTTTGTGTGTTAAAAGTAATTTTGAGTCCTTTGTGGTGACCGTATGTATGTGAGATAAATTTTAGAAAATGATGTAAATATTTGTATAAGACATCGGGAATAAGTCTCTATTAAATACGATTCTAAGTGAGTCGTAACAGATGAGACAAAGAGGTAAGATAGTTGAGGTGGTCGAGTACACGGGGAAGGCATTAAAGACTTTTATATATCCGTAGGTTAAGACGTTTATTTGGTGTTATTCTGTTAGTTGTTTATAAGGATAATACTTGGTTAGTTATTGGTTTATGATGCTGTGTTAGTTATTTATACCAAAGGTAATTCATGTGTTTAAGATGTGTCATATGTGTTGATTTTTGTGTGTGTAAGTCATCATGCATTCACAGGTGTATATACAGTATGTGTGTATATGTATATTTTTAATTTGTCATGCGATATAAGGTTTGTATGTGTGTGTGTTAGTCATGCAGGAGGAGGTAAACAGATGCAGGTGTGCACATCAGGGTGGTACTGTACTCACATTTAAGTCCCTCCTGACGAAGCTCCAGTCTCCGTCTCCTGTCGGTGTTCACGTCGTCCGCTGAGGAAGAAAAACAAACTCATTAGAAATATAATTTGAACTATTCACCATTAACATCGTAGAAAATAATAACATTCTTGTAATATTTAATCTCCTTATTTGTTTAGTTTATAAGTAAATTCTGTTTATATTTCAACAGATTTGTCAGAATTTTTTGCGGTGGTGGTGGTGTGGGAGTGTGAGAACCCTGTACAGTTATAGTGAGACGTCCTGTGACACCCACTCATTATAGTCACTCGCTGGCAGGTGTCTCACAAGTGATTATTACAAAAGACAGATTTACCTTCGCAGTCTGATCTTACAACAACTACTTCACTCTGACTGAAAATTCACAAACAATACCAGCCTCTGTGATATCTTATTTTGATCGCAAAACGCGGAAGTGTGGTCAATCCTGTGAACTTCCGTGTGTGGCATTGCGTGAATGTCTCTTCTCTCGTGACTGCTCTCATCTCCTCTTCCTCGCCAACACGGGATGTTCAGCCTCTCTTGCGTGTCACCGTTCAAGTATTGCCAGATATAAGTGAGATGACTATGGAATATTTAAACACAGCGATACATCAGTGCACGGGGCTGAAGATGACACCTCAGAGTTGGGAACTGTTGTGCTGAATAGTCAAGAGAGAATCATATGTATATTCTTAAGTATTAGTTTACCTTTAGTCGTATTGTTATAGGTGTACACTAACGCAAATAGAATATAAATAATTTCTGAGATTAGTAAGATATTTACTGCCCCACTCTTGTGTACGTACAGTTTTTTCAGTCTTGTTTAAGCTCGTCCGTTTGTTTGTCAATAATCAATATAACGAAAAAATTCTCAACGGATTTGTTAAAAATTTGTAGACGCCTAGTCATAGGCGAAGGTTATAAACCTTTATCAGTGTACAACCAGTAGTGTAGTCATTGTGCAGTCTGGGATGGATTACGTCTGTCTGTCTGTCTGGATGGATGGATGGGTGATGTAGATGGTTTGACAGATTCATTTATTAGGGCGCTTTTCTTGTTGTGGTGGATAACAGTCGCTTCACACCTCCCGTCGTGGTATAGTGAAGCTCAGGTGAATGTGAGGGTAAGTGGGTCTTTACCTGACGGTGCTAAGAGGTGTGTCTGATGTTAATTAATGGAGTAAATATCTTCCTCAGCTCCACCATTCAACCTCTTTCCTTCCCCTACTTCCTATTTTTCATCTCCCTACTTACTGTCCTTCCTCTTCCCTCCACCTCATCCTTCTCTACCAGCCTTCCCCTGCACGACACATCCTCTTCATCTGCCCGAGGCGAGGGGACAGTAGGGGTCACCCACCCCAGCAACACTGCCAGGTCACACACACACACACACACACACACACACACACACACACACACACACACACACACACACACACGACGAGCTGTGAGGCCTAAAGGGGGACGACCTTCTGAGAGGAGATGGACAGGTAGCACTCGCTGGGAGGAGATTTAAGACTAATTAGGGGCAGGTGACCGAGGATGCACCAGTGGAAGGTAGTTAGGGGCACCTGGAGGGGAGGGAAGGTGGATGAGGGGTGCTGAGAGAAGGTGATGGTGGTGGTGCACAGACTGTGCAGGCGGCGACATACCTGTGGTGGGTCCTGGAGATTTTCCCACCACACACCTGAGGGAATGACCTGGGGTACCTGTCTAGTTACCTGTCTTTATTAAACCAATCTGTCTATCTCGCTTTCTGCCTTGTCTCACCTGTTTCCTTTTATTCATCTGTCTATATCAAATTGTTCCCTTCATTCTTATCAATGTGTTTTTATCTTATCGCAACTCTAGATATTGCTTACTGTGTTTACAAATCTTAAGGGCAAAAAATACTCTCTTCAACTACTATTTGTCTCATTCTTCCTGTTTTCTTTCCTCTTCTCCCTTTTTTCATCTTTCCTTCAATTACACTTACTGATAAGCCACTAGAGGAAATAAAGTTTTTTTTTCTTATTAGTGTTTTCTCTCTCAGTTTCATGTTAAGTCCTTTCGCAAGATCCTCTGTTGAATGTCTAAAACTTGGAGAAAAAACTTGTTCTCATCACTTCGCTTTACATTAATGGTGTTACTGCTGGGTATAAATTCTCAGCGTTATATTGTGGCTCCTAACCTTATTTGTCTTGTACTGTACCCTCCTGCTGTTTTAATAGACCTTCTTTGAGTACGCCACAGCTATATATGGCCTCAAGTTCAACGACTCGAGAGTACCGCAGGGTCTTGTCTTGGGTCTTCACTTGTTTGTTAATCTGTATCAATAAACTACACGCGATTTATACTACCACAGGCTCAGTGATGACATTATTTATACAGGAGTCAAGGCCACAGCATTTATCGGGGGCTATTAACCTCGTCGACGCTTGACTCTGAGGTTCACATTTAATGACCTTCAGGAAGACGCTCATTGACGGGGTGATGAAGTTCATTCTCTTAACCGCGAGAAGGAATCTTGACTTGACTCCCACTCTCATTGTTTACGTGTCACGAATAGACTTCTGTTGTTTTTGTGTTTTAATTAACTCTACATACAGCGTTATGAGGTATAGTATTGATGTTTATTTACGTGTTATAATTAGCTAATACACCTATATATCCGTCCCTAATATGGCAAAAAATATGGTACTTCTCTTATGTATGGAGGCGATATTCTTTAATAGGGATGGTTGGGTTAACTAACTACGACGGGGAGATAATGTTGCCCACCACAGCCACACACTCAGCTCAAAGTAAACAACATATGTAGTTTATTATGAACTGTTAAAATCACAAAGTTTGTCTCCCGTGATCTTCTTTGTCTCATTCGTCCTCTATGTCTTCTTTTCTCCACTCAGCTTGTTCCTCCACCAGTCGACATCACACAGTTTGACTGTGGGTAACATCAGCTGACAGTCACATGATCCAGAGGCCTTAGATGACCCCTGCAGGACCCGAGCGTCACTCCTCTCAGTCTCTCTCTCTCTCTAATAGTGTGTTTAAGTTTTTATGTCGTCAGAGTATTGGGTCATAAATCGTGGGGTTTCGTTGGACCACGCGAGAGCATTGCCTAAGTGTCGCCCTGGATGTTGACGGCCCTGGGGAAGAAAGCTGTCAGCACCTGTGGGTGGAGGATGGTCAGAACTCGCTGTAGGACACGTGCAGCGATGGTTTCCCACGGTCACTCATCGCTGGAGAGAGAGAGAGAGAGAGAGAGAGAGAGAGAGAGAGAGAGAGAGAGAGAGAGAGAGAGAGAGTCATGCCCCGACCTGTGACTTACGTTGTAATTTATTTATAATAAACATCCATTAATGAGAAACACGCGCTGTCTTCACACCATAATTTCCTCAGTGAATATCAATGGAGCCAACAATGTGTATGATTCAGTTTATTGCAAAAGAAGTGAATTAGTTACTTGTTTTTATGTAATTGTATATGAGTGAATGTTTCTCTTGACTGGCAGCGACCCGTGGAAAGTTAATTAGGTCTTGGTTACAGGTGTTGAAGGTGAGAGTGGAGGTGTTAGGTATAGTGGTGATGGTGACAGGTGTTGAAGGTGAGAGTGGAGTGTAGGTGGTGGTGATGGTGACAGGTGTTGAAGGTGAGAGGAGGTGTTAGTAATGGTGATGGTGACAGGTGTTGAAGGTAAGGGTGGAGGTTTAGGGTGTAATGGTGATGGTAACAGGTGCTGAAGGTGAGAGGGAGGTGTTAGGTATGAGAGGTGAGTGAGAGTGGAGGTGTTAGGTAGTGGTGATGGTGACAGGTGTTGAAGGTAAGGGTGTCTAATCTTCAGGTGATCTTTAAAGTTGTAGTTTTATGGTTGTAATTCATGACGATTGTGTGTGTGTGTGTGTGTGTGTGTGTGTGTGTGTGTCTCCATATTCAGGCTCAGTCCCCCACTACCCTATAACACGCTAGGTGACTCTTGGAGGTTCTACGGTTAAATCTTATTGCCCCAACATACCGTATTCTCTTACCTCCGTCACCTACTCCACACACCTCCCTCCATCGCCTACTCCACACCTCCCTCCATCACCTACTCCATCACCTACTCCACACCTCCCTCCACCACCTGCTCCATCACCTACTCCAGCCTACTCCACACCTCCCCCATCACTTACTCCACACCCCCTCCATCACCACTCCACCCTCCATCACCCACTCCATCACCTACCCACACCTCCTCCATCGACAACTCCACACCTCCCTCCACCTACCCATCACCTACTCCACACCTCCATCACCCACCCATAGCCTACTCCACACCTCCTCCATCACCTCCACCTACTCCACACCTTCTCCATCACCTACTCCACACCTCCCTCCATCAACAACCCATAGCCTACTCCACACCTCCCTCCATCACCTACTCCACACCCTCCTCCATCACCCACTCCATCACCCACCCACACCTCCTCCATCACCCACTCCACACCTCCCTCCGTCACCCACTCCATCACCTACTCCACATCTCCCTCCGTCACCTACCCATCACCCACTCCACACCCCCTCCATCGACAACCCACACCTCCATCACCTCCTCCATCACCCACTCCACACCTCCTCCATCACCTACCCATCACCCACCCACACCTCCTCCATCACCTACTTCCACCTCCCTCCGTCACCCACTCCATCACCTACTTCCACATCTCCCTCCGTCACCTACTCCATCACCTACTCCATCACCTACTCCACACCTCCCTCCATCAACAACTCCACACCTCCCAACAAGTATATAGTATCTAATGATTCTTGAGTTAGAATTTGTCGTAGTTCCGGGGAATGAGAGACATCACTTTCCGGCAAATATTTGGGAGAGTTATGGGGAACGTATCTCCAGCAGCTTGTGAAGAAGAGGAAGAAGGAGGAGGAGGAAGGAGGAGGATAAGAAGGGGGAGGAGGAGGAGAAGGAGGGGGAGGATGAGAAGGAAGAGGAGGAAGGAGGAGGATAAGAAGGGGGAGGAGGAGGAGAAGGAGGATGAGAAGGAGGAGGAGGAAGGAGGAGGATAAGAAGGGGGA